GATTTATTAAATATTTTTTTCAGAGACTACCTTAGGCGTGGATTTATTAAATATTTTTTTCAGAGACCACCTTAGGCGTGGATTTATTACATCATTTTTTTCAGAGACTACCTTAGGCGTGGATTTATTAATTAATTTTTTTCAGAGACTACCTTAGGTATGGATTTATTAAATAATTTTTTTCAAAGACTACCTTAGGCGTGGATTTATTAAATAATTTTTTTCAGAGACAACCTTAGGCGTGGATTTATTAAATAATTTTTTTCAGAGACTACCTTAGGCGTGGATTTATTACATAATTTTTTTCAGAGACTACCTTAGGCGTGGATTTATTACATCATTTTTTTCAGAGACTACCTTAGGCGTGGATTTATTAAATAATTTTTTTCAGAGAGGCGTGGATTTATTAAATAATATTTTTCAAGGGCCAACTTAGGCGTGGATTTATTAAATAATTTTTTTCAGAGACTACCTTAGGCGTGGATTTATTAAATAATTTTTTTCAGAGACTACCTTAGGCGTGGATTTATTAAATAATTTTTTTTCAGAGACTACCTTAGGCGTGGATTTATTAAATAATTTTTTTCAGAAACTACCTTAGGCGTGGATTTATTAAATAATTTTTTTAGAGACTACCTTAGGCGTGGATTTTTAAAATAATTTTTTTCAGAAACTACCTTAGGCGTGGATTTATTAAATAATTTTTTTCAGAGAATTTTTTAAAATCATTTTCAAATCTTTCATGTTCAAGCGCCTAATAAACTGACATATAACTTCCTTTTTCTAAAACACAAACAACATAACTTTTCAAATGTCACACTTAAGTATCGCCTGAAATATGCCACATTGTACACACTTTTTAATGTATCCTTTAAAAAAACAACTGAGCTCCAAAAAATTTAAATTGTTTAACAGATGTGTCCGCCTGCTGCATATCCTTTTTTCTACTTTCCATACACATTTATTTTTTATGCCACGAATTCAATTACCCCAAAAAATCCACATCCTAAAGTGCTATTGTAAAAAAATTCCCCAAAGTATAACACGTGTGAAATTGACACATTATCGGCCGTCTCAAATAACACTTCCACTTAAGCGAGTCCCCCACAAACACACTCACTCAAAGGCGTTCTAAAATACCACAAACGCCATATTTTAGGCTCTTAAACCGAAAAAAATTAAAAATCCCCACCTAAGGCTCTTAAAGTCCTTGATAAAATGTATTTAAAAAAATCCACACCTAAGGCTCTTAAAGTCCTTGATAAAATGTATTTAAAAAAATTCACGCCTAAGGCTCTTAAAGTCCTTGATAAAATGTATTTAAAAAAAATCCACGCCTAAGCCTATTAAAGTCCTTGATAAAATTCTTTAAAAAATCCACGCCAATCGTAAAGGTCCTGGATAAAATTCTTTAAAAAATCCACGTCTAAGGCTCGGTTAGACCCTGTAATTTTTTTAAAAAATCCACGCCTAAGGCTCTTAGGGTGCTCTAGAAAAATTCTTTAACAAATCCACGCCTAAGGCTCTTAGGGTGCTCTAGAAAAATTCTTTAACAAATCCACGCCTAAGGCTCTTAGGGTGCTCTAGAAAAATTCTTTAAAAAATCCACGCCTAAGGCTCTTAGGGTGCTCTAGAAAAATTCTTTAAAAAATCCACGCCTAAGGCTCTTAGGGTGCTCTAGAAAAATTCTTTAAAAAATCCACGCCTAAGGCTCTTAGGGTGCTCTAGAAAAATTCTTTAAAAAATCCACGCCTAAGGCTCTTAGGGTGCTCTAGAAAAATTCTTTAAAAAATCCACGCCTAAGGCTCTTAAAGTCCTTGATAAAATTTATTTAAAAAATCCACGCCTAAGGCTCTTAAGGTTCTTGATAAAATTTACTTAAAAAATCCACGCCTAAGGCTCTTAAAGTCCTTGATAAAATTTATTTAAAAAATCCACGCCTAAGGCTCTTAAAGTCCTTAATAAAAATGATTTAAAAAACCACACCCAAGGCTCTTAAAGTCCTCGATAAAAATTATTTAAAAAATCCACGCCTAAGGCTCTTAAAGTCCTTGATAAAAATTATTTAAAAAATCCACGCCTAATGCTCTTAAGGTTCTTGATAAAAATTATTTAAAAAATCCACGTATAAGGTTCTTAAAGTCCTTAATAAAAATTATTTAAAAAATCCACGCCTAATGCTCTTAAGGTTCTTGATAAAAATTATTTAAAAAATCCACGTATAAGGTTCTTAAAGTCCTTAATAAAAATTATTTAAAAAATCCACGTATAAGGTTCTTAAAGTCCTTAATAAAAATTATTTAAAAAATCCACGCCTAAGGCTTTTAAAGGCCTTGATAAAAATTATTTACAAAATCCACGCATAAGGTTCTTAAAGTCCTTAATAAAAATTATTTAAAAAATCCACGCCTAAGGCTTTTAAAGGCCTTGATAAAAATTATTTAAAACATCCACGCCTAAGGCTTTTAAAGACCTTGATAAAAATTATTTAAAAAATCCACGCTTAAGGCTTTTAAAGGCCTTGATAAAAATTATTTAAAAAATCCACGCCTAAGGCTCTTAAAGTCCTTGGTAAAAATTATTTAAAAAATCCACGCCTACGGCTCTTAAAGTCCTTGATAAAAATTATTTAAAAAATCCACGCCTAAGGCTCTTAAAGTCCTTGGCATTTTTTTTTTAAATCCACGCCTAAGGCTCTTAAAGTCCTTGATAAAAATTATTTAAAAAATCCACGCCTAAGGCTCTTAAAGTCCTTGGCATTTTTTTTTTTAAATCCACGCCTAAGGCTCTTAAAGTCCTTGATAAAAATTATTTAAAAAATCCTCGCCTAAGGCTCTTAAAGTCCTTGGTAATTTTTTTTTTTAAATCCACGCCTAAGGCTCTTAAAGTCCTTGATAAAAATTATTTAAAAAATCCACGCCTAAGGCTCTTAAAGTCCTTGATAAAAATTATTTAAAAAATCCACGCCTAAGGCTCTTAAAGTCCTTGATAAAAATTATTTAAAAAATCCACGCCTAAGGCTCTTAAAGTCCTTGGTAATTTTTTTTTTTAAATCCACGCCTAAGGCTCTTAAAGTCCTTGATAAAAATTATTTAAAAAATCCACGCCTAAGGCTCTTAAAGTCCTTGGTAATTTTTTTTTAAATCCACGCCTAAGGCTCTTAAAGTCCTTGATAAAAATTATTTAAAAAATCCACGCCTAAGGCTCTTAAAGTCCTTGATAAAAATTATTTAAAAAATCCACGCCTAAGGCTTTTAAAGGCCTTGATAAAAATTATTTAAAAAAATCAACGCCTAAGGCCCTTAAAGTCCTTAATAAAAATTAAAAAAAAAAACACGCCTAAGGTCACTAAAACACGCCACAAGTTCTTGGAAAAATATATTAAAAAAAATCACGCACATAAAAATAACTTTTGGTAACGACATAGCTAAGAATAATAATAATCAATAACAGGACGATAAATAGGTTTGGCCAAATACTCCAGTCGGCGTTTATGTTCACGCCACTGGCGATAGGACATTCGAGGATATTCATATTTCTGGCGGCGAGTTCTAGGTGTGGCCAATTTTTCAGCATGTTCCAAAAGCTCTTCAAATGGTATGGGATCTTTGGTTTCCGACTTTTTCTCCTTTTCCTTATCTTTACTGCGGATTTTGGGTTGATAGGGTGGTTTGGGTGTGGCATTCTTCGCTGCCCAATTATAAAATCTTACCCAATCTTTTCGCGCCATTGGACCACGTTTAGCCCAGCGACTGGGTTCACGTCTGATACATGGTCTGGGGAAGTTATACCTTTTCGGTTGACTATTTTTCTCTATCCATTGTCGTAAATGTTCGACCATATTGTAGATTTGATGATGTTGTTGCATACATTGTTGGACTTCTTCCTCAGCTTGTCTATTTGGGAGGTTTCTAGTATTCACTATGACCTTCACCGTACCTTTGGCCATTGTAATTTGGAATTATTATAGTAATTTGGTTAGAATTGCAATATAATTTAGGGAGGTTGCAATTTGCGGTGAATGTGAATTTTTAAATGGAAATTTTGGAAGAAAAATAATTTTAATTGACACGTGCTTTTAAAATTAAAAACAAAAAATATTTGGAGACATAAATTTGACTACAAAAACAATGATAGAATTTTGGATTTTTTTTAATATTTTTTTCAGGCTTAGAATTTTTAAATAATTGTTTCCGAGACTTCCTTAGGCGTGGATTTATTAAATAATTTTTTTCGGAGACAACCTTAGGCTTGGATTTTTAAAATAATTTTTTTTTCAGAGACTTCCTTAGGCGTGGATTTATTAAATAATTTTTTTCGGAGACAGCCTTAGGCTTGGATTTTTGAAATATTTTTTTTTCCGAGACTGCCTTAGAAGTGGATTTTTAAACAATTTTTTTTAAACTACGTTAGGCGTGGATTTTTAAAATAATTTTTTCCTGAGACTACCTTACAAGTGGATTTTTTTTAACAATTTTTTTTAGACTACCTTAGTTGTGGATTTTTAAAATATTTTTTTCCTGAGACTACCTTAGTAGTGGATTATTAAAATAAGTTTGTTAAAAGCATGAACAAAATAATTTTAAAAATTCTCTTCACAGCATGTTCTGTTCTGTTCTGCTCAAATTAAAATTCCACTGCTTTGCTGCCAAATGGTTATCAATTTTGTTTCCTCAAAATTCCTTCTTATTGGGGATGATCTATATCACCTAAGAAGATCCTTATCAAACATATGCGGGCGATACCGATGAAGGAGCGGAAAACGGAAATAAAATGCGAGCAGCATTAGAACCTAAAATGATAACGACGAACAACCCTGGCATATTATCAAATTAAATGACCGTTATCAAATTAGAAATTTATTTAAGGTCGGAATCAAACAAATGTGGAAAATTGAATACAGAAATAACGAAATTGGGCAGATATACGGTTAAGCTACCCAGCTACCTAATCAGCAGTGGCAGCAACAAATGCCATGTAAATCAACGAGCGACAGGGATCTAACAACAACAACAACAACAATGTTTGAAGTTGGTGGCAATGATGGTGGTGGTTAATGGATGGCTGGCTTTTTGGATGTTTGATGTAAATGACGATGGTCGTGGTTGTGGTAACCTATATTGGTTACAGAAATTCAAAATACCTTCTTTAAATGCCACCAATGTTTTTTCAACAATGTCTTCGTCGTCGTCATCATTAATTCTTTGGTGGTGATTCGAAAACCCCCCAGAAAATTGTGTAACTCTTCTACAAATGCAAAATGTGACAGAAATACAATTTTTTCTTCTTTTGGATTGGTTCAGGTGCCTATTTACTTTGGTGGCCGAAAATTCCATCACAACACAAACGAAAAAAATAAAGACAAGTTAACCAGACCCAAAATGACATGTATCAAACTCATTTTGGAAACAAACAAAAAATATTGTAAACTCGGTGAACACCACAACTCCAAAGACTATTGACCGATATACATAAAACTAAATGGTAAATACAAAGTTTTGTATCGAAATCGTAGCTTCTACAGAAAATCCACCAGTCTAGGTATTTTTGTTGTAAATCGTCGAAAATATTGTTAGTGGTGGTGGTGGTGTTGCATACCTCCATAAATGAAATGAAAATATACAAAACTAAATGAAATTCTTCAAATATCACTTGCAGAATAGTCAACAACAACAACAAGAACAAAAACATGAATCGAAAATAAAATCACAACAATATGACAGTAACACAACATAATATTGATAAAACTTATGACAAGGTATACACACAGGCAACGAGGAATAGCGTTTCGATACGATGTCGGGATACAGTGGGTTTTGAAAAAAAAAATTAAGAATATTTTAGAATGGTTAACAAAACCATAGTCGTGGCGACAAAATCATATTTTTCCAACACCAAGGCGTAGATTTTTAAATAAATATTTTTCCAAGGCATACTCAAGGCGTATTTTTTAAAAGCCAGGCGTAGATTTTTTAAGCGAATATTTTTCCAAGACATAGCACAGCCACAGCCTACCAAGGCGTAGATTTTTTAAAGAATATTCTTCCAAGGCATACCAAGGCGTAGATTTTGTTAAAGAATATTCTTCCAAGGCATACCAAGGCGTAGATTTTTTAAAGAATATTCTTCCAAGGCATACCAAGGCGTAGATTTTTTAAAGAATATTCTTCCAAGGCATACCAAGGCGTAGATTTTTTAAATCATATTTTTCGAAGTTCTACCAAGGCGTAGATTTTTTAAATCATATTTTTCGAAGTTCTACCAAGGCGTAGATTTTTTAAATCATATTTTTCGAAGTTATACCAAGGCGTAGATTTTTTAAATCATATTTTTCGAAGTTCTACCAAGGCGTAGATTTTTTAAATCATATTTTTCGAAGTTCTACCAAGGCGTAGATTTTTTAAATCATATTTTTCGAAGTTCTACAAGGCGTAGATTTTTTAAATCATATTTTTCGAAGTTCTACCAAGGCGTAGATTTTTTAAATCATATTTTTCGAAGTTCTACCAAGGCGTAGATTTTTTAAATCATATTTTTCGAAGTTCTACCAAGGCGTAGATTTTTTAAATCATATTTTTCGAAGTTCTACCAAGGCGTAGATTTTTTAAATCATATTTTTCGAAGTTCTACCAAGGCGTAGATTTTTTAAATCATATTTTTCGAAGTTCTACCAAGGCGTAGATTTTTTAAATTTAAAGAATTTTTTCCAAGGCATACCAAGGCGTAGATTTTTTAAAGAATATTTTTCTACCAAGGCGTAGATTTTTTAAATCATATTTTTCAAGGGGTATGAGAGAGCGTAGATTTTTTAAATCATATTTTTCGAAGTTCTACCAAGGCGTAGATTTTTTAAATCATATTTTTCGAAGTTCTACCAAGGCGTAGATTTTTTAAATCATATTTTTCGAAGTTCTACCAAGGCGTAGATTTTTTAAATCATATTTTTCGAAGTTCTACCAAGGCGTAGATTTTTTAAAGAATATTTTTCCAAGGCATACCAAGGCGTAGATTTTTTAAAGAATATTTTCCAAGTTCTACCAAGGCGTAGATTTTTTAAATCATATTTTTCGAAGGCATACCAAGGCGTAGATTTTTTAAAGAAAATTTTTCCAAGGCATACCAAAGCGTAGATTTTTTAAATAATATTTTTCTAAGGCATACCAAGGCGTAGATTTTTTAAAGAATATTTTTTCAGGGCCATACCAAGGCGTAGATTTTTTAAAGAATATTTTTTCAGGGCCATACCAAGGCGTAGATTTTTTAAAGAATATTTTTTCAGGGCCATACCAAGGCGTAGATTTTTTAAAGAATATTCTTCCAAGGCATACCAAGGCGTAGATTTTTTAAAGAATATTCTTCCAAGGCATACCAAGGCGTAGATTTTTTAAAGAATATTCTTCCAAGGCATACCAAGGCGTAGATTTTTTAAAGAATATTCTTCCAAGGCATACCAAGGCGTAGATTTTTTAAAGAATATTCTTCCAAGGCATACCAAGGCGTAGATTTTTTAAAGAATATTCTTCCAAGGCATACCAAGGCGTAGATTTTTTAAAGAATATTCTTCCAAGGCATACCAAGGCGTAGATTTTTTAAAGAATATTCTTCCAAGGCATACCAAGGCGTAGATTTTTTAAAGAATATTCTTTCAAGGCATACCAAGGCGTAGATTTTTTAAAGAATATTCTTCTAAGGCATACCAAGGCGTAGATTTTTTACAGAATATTCTTCCAAGGCATACCAAGGCGTAGATTTTTTACAGAATATTCTTCCAAGGCATACCAAGGCGTAGATTAAAAAGGCGTAGATTAAAAAATCCACAATTATGGTCCCGATTATTCTTCAAGTCATTTCTTTAAAAAATCCACAATTATGGTCCCGATTATTCTTCAAATCATTTCTTTGAAATATCCACACTTATGGTCTTGATTATCCTTGAAATTTTCTTTAAAAATCCTGAATATCCTTTATTGTCCTGATCGCTCTTTAAAACCCTGCGCTTATGGTCCTGGTAATCCTTTAAGGGGGGTCAAAATTTTTTCTGATTTAATTCGATTCTACACTAATTAAAGAATGTCTCTACAAAATTTCAAGTGATAATCTCAAGAACTCTTGAAGATATAGCCGATTTATTGTGTCAGCATCAAGAGACGGCTAAAGGGCTTCTCAAATTTTAAACACGTTTTTCTCTTTTGCGAATGGCGGGCACGATAACTCAAAAACTAATAACCCAATCGATTCCAAATTTTTACACGTTTCTCTGTGAGTTTATAGCTATCGTATGAACTAGGATAAAGCCAATCCCTGAAGACTTCCTTATGTTTTAACTTAGTTTTGTGTCAAAAATCGGCGATTTTCCAAAAATATTTTTTCAAAGGTCCGCCATTTTGTTAATTTTAGAGCGAAGTCAATAATCCTAGTTCATACGAGAGTCAGACATGTCCTCTTTCTAACACCGTTGGAATTTTCGGATTCCGATGTACCAGTGATAAGTTATCATGCCCGCCATCAAAAATAAGGAATTTTCTTTAATTACAAAAAACAACAACAAAGCAATAACAAAAATTTTTTGTAAATTATTTTTCTTCTCTTTAAAATCTTCAAATATATATGTGCAAAATTACAAACCTTAACAAGCATTGGTATTGATTTACCAGCCCATTGAAAATCTTGAAAAATTAAAATCAAGAATGGGTGGGGTTCCCATAAATAATTTATTTACAAAAAATCACGATTATGGTCCTGATTATCCGTGGAATCATTTCTTTAAAAAAATCAACGCTTATGGTCCAGGTTGTCTTTAAAAAATCCATGCTTATGGTGCAGAATAAGCACATGCTCCTGATCGGC